TTTCAAATTTATGGGACTTTTTGAATTTTAGAAGAGAGAGAAAGGGGTTACTATATTAAACTGTTCTTTCTAGTTGTATAAGTTTGGGATTGGGAGTTTAGTCATCAAATCAAGCTTATGGGACTGTGGCGCGTTTTCTTTGCTTTTTGAATTTTAGAGGAAGAGAGAAAGGGGTTACTATATCAAACTGTTGTTCTTTCTAGTTGTATAAATTAGAGATTTGGGGTTTAGTTATTGTCCCAAGCTTCTGGGACCACGGCGCGTTTTATTTATTTTCTGAATTTTATTAAAGGAAGGGTGGGGGAACTATCTTAAATTGATTTTTTTTTTTGGGGGGTTGTATAAATTATGGATTGATGGTTTAGTTATTAATCCAAGCCTATGGGAACGTTTCCTTTGCTTTTTGAACTTCAGAGGAAGTGTGGGGTAACTATGTTAAATTGTTATTCTTTTTTAGTATCTAGTTACCCTTTCCTTGTTTCTTGAATACGGGAAAGTTGAGTTCAGGAATAAGAGTTATTACTAAGGGTTATGGATCCACTGTTTGGGCATCGCAGCATGTTTTTATTTGTTACGAATTGTAGGAGAAGAAAGGCTGCAATGTGAAAGGGTGTGCGTGTTTATATCTAGTAGTCCTTACCTAGTTAGTTACAGAAGAGAAAGATGAGTTGGGTCGGAGCTTCAGGGGTTATGGGAACCACGGTACGTTCTCCGTGTTTTCTGTGGTTTAGAGGAAGTGGGTTGGGGTTACTGTGTTAAATTGTTGGTCTTAGTTTAAAGGATAGATAAGAAAAACGAGTTCAAGACGGAGCTTAGATAGATTGATCCGCAACATGATGAACCACGGTGCGTTTTCTTTGCTTTCTGTTGTTTAGGTGAAGGTATTAGGGGATACTATGGTAAATCCTATGTATGTATTTTTATCTTGTTCTTGTTTGCTTAAATAAGGGAGTGAAAAATTAGCAGGACAGAGCTTTGAGGGTTACTGATCTTTGCTTAAAAGATCACTTCCCGTTTTCTTTGGTTTCTGTAGTTTAGGTGAAGGAATTAGGGGATACTATGTTAAATCTCATGTATGTTTATATCTTGTTCTTATTTGTTTAAATAAGGGAGCGAAAAAAGACTTCAATGCGGAGTTTTGAGGGTTACTGATCCAAAGCGATCACTTTCTTTGCTTCCTGCCATTTTTTTTCTTCTTTTTTTCTGTGAGGAGGAGGGCAGAGCCACATTATTAAATCACATTCGTGTTCACATCTACCTCTCTTTACTCAGTTATTCTTACCCTTTGACTGGGGGGGGAGAATAGTTGAGGAGGACCCGTCTGCTATATTTGGATTTCAGCTTAATTCTTAAACATGGCTTCTTGCTCCTCTTTCATGAATAACACTTTTTTCCTTGTCTAACGCCTCCGTTCTTGAGCCACATGAGGATATTCATGTTATCCTCCTTTCCTTCTCTCCTCCCGTGCTGTAAGTTTTCATTTTAATCAGGTCCTTTTTCAAAATTCAAGCCCTTAAAGTTGAAACCCATCAAAGACCCGCTAGTTGAGGGCGTATTTAAGTCCTTCCTGTTTTTGTTTTTTTGTTTTTTTTCTTCTTTTTCTTTTCTTTCTTTCGTATTTCTACTTTCTATCATTTATTCAATTTGTTTGATGCATTTAGTAGCAATTTTCCCATCTTGTTCTGATATAGAGTTTATTTTTGCCATCACCATACTTAACACCATACAAAGAAACTTTCGACTTTAACACAAATCTTCTTTTGTTAGTTTCTTTTGTACCTGTCAATAAGATCATTCATAAATTGGTAAACATTAATGGTGTAAAGATCCTCGAGGTCCATTTTTTTCCATTTAGCGTTTTTTAATGCTTTATATATTATTATTACGAATACTATTTTTTCTATTACAATAACATCAAAGACTGACGAGGACTTGTTTAACCACCACTTGCTTTGCTGTCAATTCCTTTCTCCCGCCTCTGCAATGGTCTTATTTTACGAGACATTCAAGTATCCGAGTTGTGATGCATTTGCTAAGGAAGAATCCAGTTTATTTTCACTGGCGGAAAATTACCTTGGCTACTGATGGCCTTGTCAACAATGTCAAGTTTCAGTGGCTTGTTTCTCTTTTATTTCTCCCTTTCTATGGTCTGCAACGATGTCCTTTTTTTGCGGGAATTCGGCATTTATAGTTCCGTGTATTTCATCAATCACCTTATCCCATTTGTACCTTCCGGTGCTATGTTTGAGACTTTTCAATGTGTTCTAATATAAAGTGTTCTTTGTTTGCGTCAAGCTAAGCTCGTTCAGTAGGTTTTAGCATGTCCAAGTTGTGTTTAAATTATGTATTGTTTATAGTCCTTTTTAGCTAAGTTTCATCTCTTCTTTCAACTCCTCCGTGTCCTTTTCAAACTTTACCTTTGGAATTACAGTCCTTTTAACCCACGCCATGTTGCAAAATATTACTTTTAGTTTGTTTCTTCTGTGACGTAATTTGTTTC